GTGGGGGCTCCTCCTAAGGTATAAGTTTAAGTATAGAGGGTTCAAGTTTGTAATTTATCGCCATCATGATGGGAGTTTCCATGAATCGGGGGACCCTTGGAAGAACGCTTACAGATGCCTGCGAGAAGGGACCCTAATTTTGGGAAGCTCGATTTGTCCTTATTCATCATTTTACATCCTTAGATATCCCTATATAACTCCTGGAAAGGCCTTCGCAATCATTCACACTTCCCAGGGAAAATGCCCCTAGCAGAAGCCTGTCGTGAATTCAGGGTTTAGCGTTTAGGGAAGGGCTCCTCGGCGAGGTTGTCAACCAAGGAGCGTACCTGCACGCCTGATGCAAAAGGGCTTAGGGACGAAAGATACCAAGACTGCACAAGGCAGAGTATCATAATCTATTCCTTAGGGTTATCGTATGTTATAGGAAGAACAAATTCTTTCTTGGTCGAATGTCCACAAACAATTTAGCAGAATTCCTAGATGCCCCCCAAAATCCTTCATCCCAAGCAAAGCCCCTCAGGTGATCTCGTAGCCTTGGGATGCCAACAACTGCGGGTAGTGGAGACACATGGCTAACATGTGTGTATTTGGGGGGGGGGGGGGGGNNGTTAGGCTTTGGGGTCTTCTTTTATGCGCCCAAAGTTGTTGTCCTTACTAAAAAAAGGGGATGCCCTTGAATTTTTGGAAGCCACCACATGGGGTTTGTCAAAAGTGTGGGTATCCTACCGGTCCCTGAGGGTTGTAGGGAGGTAACAGGGGCATTACTTGAGGAAGAGCCCATGTGAGCTATAGACTTTACTCCTTCAAGGGGCTTATTTCAAGGATAATATTGGGAGTATTATAAGGGATATTCAGGGGGATGCTAGGAGTTTAGACTATAGCTCATATGACGGTCTCGCAAACTTGTTAGTCCAGATTTTGGGACGACTCGTGATTTTCAGCAACCACTTAATGAATGCGGCGTAGATGGACTTGAGCTGGAAAGGTATGTATACCTGTAACCCCAACTACCTCCGGCTTGATAGTAATTTCCCTCTAATTGTAATGGGTAATCCCTATAAAGCTGTAGGTGATTGGGGTTGCAGGTAGAGACTGTTTTCAGGCAGGGATGGTGAATGTTTGGGGGGTGCTCCGTTTCGGGGTGCAGAGAGCATTTGGCAGTGATGCAGGGGCTATAGGGTCGTGTATAAAGCGTGCTCAGCATTTCGTAGGAACGGCTCCATGAGCATCCTTTGACAGAGATACCCTCACCCAAACTCGCATGGAACCCCATACAGCTTCCTTGTTCAAGGACAGGAGTCTGTGTAGGCCCTTTTTTCGGGTTCCACGTTTGTTTGAGGGAGGCTGCTCGGGCTAACATCACAGGTGTAGCGTGGTTCCAGGGTTCTAGCATCGCTTTTTGGGGGTTTGCAGCAATTGGGAGTCCCATGTTGGGGTCCTTGCCATGCGCTTCCTATCTTGCTGTCGTTGCTTTTATCACAAGATGTCAGAACCCAGAAACAATGAAAGTCCCACCTCACCACACTGCCACACTACCTGCTAAGGCACGGGTCGTGCAAAGTGGTGCGCGGTGGCCGCCAGGTTCGTGCGATTCAGGCACCGGGAGACACTTAGAGGTTGTTGCGGGGTCAGTATTTTGGGTGTAAGGGTTTTGGTGATTCTGACCATTTCTCAGGTATATACCGACTGATGGTGGCTTTGGTTCCGAGGCAACAAGTTCTTGAGAACCCTATGCAGAGGGTTCTGTTACTAGCGCCAGTCGTGGCGGGAGACTTGATTTCCAGGCTGTCATCTGAGGCGTCCGGGACTTCATTGCGTTTTGGCCAGTACTGGGGTTCTTGAAGCTGAGGTTGATTTTTGGGAGCCCCCATCATCAAGACTATGGAGCCTACAGTAGAGGGTAACTACATTACTAAAGCTGTACACATTGCCCGTGGGTGGGAGTTCTTGGTGTTGGAGGCCGCTGCCACGCTTTTCAAGCAGCTGAAGTTCCATGGATGAGGCTATTTACTGCCCCATGGCTCCTTGTGTGGTTGATACCTTTCAATCCCTTTTCGAACAAAAAAAACACACACGAGTCTCAAAGGAATCGCATAGAAGCGCCTCGGGTAAACCGTATAAAGTCGGAAAGAACCGAAAGTTGTGTTGTGAGGGGATCCTGGGCTAGGGCGGGCGCTGGAGAACCCTTCTAGAACTGGCCAACTTATAGCTTACGAAAAAATTTAGGGTGTAGGGTGTACTCTAGGAATCCAAATATGCAAATGTCAGTAATATTCACAGTTTTTTGGGCCCAATGTAAGTGCTATTTGTATGCTTGGATCTCTAAGGTTTAGGGCATGAGCTGGAGCACAAGCTGGAGGATCCCTACACACGCATTGCCTTAAGTCTGACCTACCCTTTTTTTGACTACTGTCAAATCCTGTTTCATCCCGCGGAGTCCAAAAATAATGGGTTCAGGTAGAAGCCTGAAGATTTAACACTATTTTCTTTTACATCACTCGTCTGACTCTAGTTTAAGATACCCCAAACACAGCCTTATTTTCTTTAAACATGAAATCCTTATACCAACCGCTTCATTTTTTATGCTTCTTGTCAATTTGATTCTGCCCTATTCTAATTGTCCAGGCCTCTACAGCCCAACGCTCATTCCCTAGTCCTCTATGTGTCTGCAAATCCCCGCAGTCCCTTGAATTCGTCATTATTCGAAGGATCTTTAGGCCCCTACCCAAAGCCTACTTCCCAAAGCCCTTGAGCAACTCAAGTCCTAAATCCCCTATATGGGCTATATCCTAAGCCCTAAACCCCATAAAGGGGTTATTAAAGGGGATGCTAGGAGTTTACGCTACTATAGTATATTACTTGGTAGTTTCCCAAAATAAGGGGACCCCAATATAGACCCCAATATACTATAATCCTTATTATGGGGACCCCTAAAAAGGTACCCCTAATTTGGGGAAACCCCCATTTGGGCCCCTACATATGCTGATGAGGCCGGGGACTTCTTCGGCCCTGACCTCGCCGCGGACGAGAGCGCTTCAGCAGCATTTAACCTTTTGACTTACTGGTAGTATGGTTACTATTAGTATTACTACTATGGTTACTATTATGGTTACTATTATGGTTACCATTATTGTTACTATTATTGTTACTATTATTGTTATTATTAGTTATTAGTATTATTATGTGCTTGAAGGGGAGTAGGGAAATCATGTAGGGACAAATAGTCAGATTACATAGAAGGAGTTTTGAGTTGTAGGATGGTGATGGTCTAGATCATGATAGGAGTCAGTCCTAGTGAGGAGTTGGAGTCTTGGCATCGTAGTGTGCGGTAAAGGTCTAGGTTGCGAAGCATGCTTGAGGCGCAGGCATCACCATTAAATTTCAGAATTGTGCCGCTACGTAGTTGCATGTAGCGATGGTGTAGTCATGGGTTGTGTATGTGGTGCTGCATAAGCACTTTCGCATACAACGTAGGTTCATGTGGTGTATAATTGTGTACATACGCTAAAAGACTGATATCGAAGCTAAGCCCCCCCGCTTTCCGTGTCCTCTGAGAAGCAAGCGGGGCTACAGTGATTACACCTGCTTGCTTGCCATCTTGCCATTGTTTGCCTCTTCCTACCTGCCTGCCCTGCCTGCTTCTATGATTAAAGGAAACTTGCAGAGGAGCGCAGGGCCTGTTCAAGTCAGGGTAGGCTTCTCCAAGGTGTTTTGTCAAAGTCAAAGGAGCCTGTTTTTGTAGGGGGGACCGGGGCAAAACCCCCGCTGAAGTGAAATCAGGGTTTGTGCCTGTAGGGGCATATGCAGGATCACATGAGCTCTAGGATTCCACAGGGAGTGCCTACATGGGAGTTTCACAATCATGCCTTCTGCATACCCATAAGGTTCCTAAGCGTGCCCCTACTTTGACAGAAACGTGTATACAATGCTTGGAAGCTCTCGCAGAACCGAGGGGTTGTTGCATGCAGCGATGAGGTCCGTGTGTGCAGCCGCTGGGCTTTAGACAGCTCACTGTTCGTTCTTAGGAGTACACCTATTAGATGATAATGCTGTCCCAATTCTGAGGCAAACGAAGAAATCATGTGGGGAGGGTTTTTCGAAGCCCATGATCCCTTACAGCATCCCGGGTTTCCAGCTGGGTAGACACCATCTGGGGGTTTCCCAAAATTATGGGTACCGTTTGGGGGTTACCCATAATAAGCGTAAGAGTATTTTGGGGTCTATATTGGGGTCCCCCAATTTTGGGAAACTACAATCTATGGCAGAAAGCAATTTTTGGAAGATTTCAAAAGTCGGCAATGTCAATTGAAGTAGCTGGGAAGCAAAGTAACATCGAGAACCACGCAAGATCATCTTTCGTCGCAGTTGATGTAAAAGATTCAAAGCGACGCTGCAATGGCATGATATGCAAAGCTGCGATATGTGATGCTACTTGTAGATTGTAGAAGCTTTGCAAGCAGCACGGGCTTCAAAGTGTCCGTTGCAGGTTTCACGAACGAAGGACAGACTTCCATGGGAATCTTGGCTGCCCTGGCGTCCCATATGTACACTTAAATAGGGGAGGGTTCCCAAAATTAGGGTTACCATTTTGGGGGTCCCCATAATAAGGACTATAGTATTCTGGGGTCTATATTGAGGTCCCCTGATTTTGGGAAGCTACCAAGTGATGAAGCCTGAATCTTCTAAGTCCTAGACCCTACTTGAAGGTTCATGGGTGGTTTTCATGAGAGGATGCAACAAGGACAGCCATACGCCATAATTTGCCCGAGCTGTCCTCTAAAGATCTCCAAAGACTAGGACCAGGTTTGAAGTTTATAGAGATTATATAGGCGCATGTGGGGATGTATGGGGATTTACTGGATGTTCTACGGATATTGTTCCCTTAACAGAAGCCCAGTACTGTCGGCTCTTGCTGGATGCAGCGGAGAGGTAACTTGTCCGTCAGCTTTCTCAGGGCAGGAGGCCCATTTGAGCTATAGTCTAAACTCCTTAAAGGGGGTTCTATAGGGGATTATATAGGGGACTACTATAGGGGTTATTAAGGGGGATACTAGGAGTTTAGACTATAGCCCATTTGTGGCAGGCCATTCTTCTGCCAGCTTTTGATGCTGATGGGCTTCCATGTAAGCTTCTGATGTTCAGCAAACGAGTGCCAGTTGCTGCGTCCCGGATACCTGTAGTTGAGGGTACCCAAGAACTTCATCAACAAACTTCGCGTGCCCCTGAATTTTAGATTCCAGCGCATTCCCGAGGCTTCCTGCTGAATTCAAGACCAAGCTGAAGAGTTGCTTGGCCTTTGGGACGTTGGAAAGTTCAGAAAACTCAAGTGTTTGTGCGACTTTACACCTCCTAGGGTTTAGGGTTTGGGGTTTAGGGTTTAGGGTTTAGGGAGCACTGGGCCTTCCACAGGCCAACCAGGAGAAGAGTTTCCCATGTGTCCAAAGCCCATTTCACGTGACTTGGCTGCTGTCAAAAAGAGAGCAGCGCATGTCAAAACTTAGCGCGCCAAGTTGCACAGGCATTTTCCTCCATCGGCGTTCTCAACCAGGAGCCAGCTAGGAATGACATATAGATATATATATATATGTATATACAATTGTTGCTGCCGCTGCGACTGCGGCTACGGCTGCAGGCGCGAGAGAGGGCTGTTGCTGTTGCTATCGCTTTTGCAGTTGCAGTTACCGCTATTTGCTGCATTTGCTGCTGTTGCCGCTGTCCTCGCTGTCGCTGCTGGCGCTACTGCTGCTGCTGCTGCTGCTGCTGCGGCTGCTGCTGCTGCTGCTGCTGCACCTGCTGCTGCACCTGCTGCTGCACCTGCTGCTGCACCACCACCTGCTGCTGCTGCTGCTGCTGCTGATGCTGCTGATGCTGCTGCTGCTGCTGCTGCTGCTGCTGCTGCTGCTGCTGCTGTTAAGTAACAGTAATGGCAAAGGCAGGAGCAGCCTTCTGAGTGATGGTGGTAGCAATACCCGCATTATCCCGCATTAGTAAGGTCTAGTACTATTTGTCATACTAGCAACAGTAATTGCCACGCGAGGTGACTCTTATACGATAACTGCAGAGCTGCATCCCGTCATGGGCTGCAGATTCCATGTTGTTTCCTTGCACTGTGAAGAAATGAGAATGCCGAGGATGCGCGCCGTGGGTTTACGTATCCTTTTTCAAGTTCAAGAGCCGATTGATGAGATGTATGCCTACTGCCATACTCAAAGACTCGTTGCAAAATGTGCAAAACAGTGCTATGGTTGTGTTGGACAGGACAGGAGTCATGGCATATTCTTGAGAACAGCCCCATGTTGGAAACGCACACATATGCGTAGAGAAGCAACCATATGCGGATCCTTTCGCAGCACCCATCACCTGCAAGCCGACCACTGAGGGCATGGCAGTTGGCCTTGATGATCTCTACCTGTTCTCAATAGATTCCAAGTATTGCTGGCGGTTGCCGTGCAGCTGTGAAGGCTGCATGCAACCTGTGTCCGTTGGACGGTTAGGGGTCTGAGCGCTGCAGATGCTAAGAAGGAGCTGTGCTGAAGCCCAAAAAGCCTAGATCTTATGTCGGCCAGCCGACCCCCACCACGTCTTCCGCGGCTCTTGCTGCTCAGCTCATAGAGCCAGGCGGTGGGCCTGAGCAACTGCCGTTTCTCTGACTTTCAAGAAGGCAGACTTGGAAGCTGTAGGCAGGAAAAAGATCTCATCTTAGCCAGCTCTGTTGCGGTCATATTGGGCTTATATTGGGGTGATATTGGGATAATGGAAAGGAAAATGGGAGCTGCGATTATGGGGCTACATAGGGTTTAGGGTTGCGAACATGCCATCTAAACGACCTTACCGAAAGCCTGTATCAAGCTGTCTGAAGGCACAGATCTGCGAGGGATGTGTTATGCGGCAGCAAGAGAAGTAGCATCAGCAGCAGTCGTAAATCAGGATGCCGATACGTACCTGCAGGCAGCAATATTCAAATTCCATAACCACGAAGATTGGAATAAGATTGAAAATGAGAATTGAAGCGATACGCTGTGGCTGGGCTCTTCTTGTTTTTCTTTCGTCCTTGCAGTGGTTCAGGAGCAAGGCTGGAATGCATCTGCCCCTTGAACCTGAATTCCTCAACACTTGGAGCCGCCAAAAATGCATTGTGGACCCATACACCATTTTCGCATGTTCCACCCCCCGCCCCAGAACTCCCCAACTTTTTGGACCTAGCAACCCCGAAACCCATCCTAAAAGGGCCCTTCCCCAGCGGAGCTCATATTATGAAGTTGCACGAAACAAAGACTGAACACGTACGTGGATTCGAAGAACCCCAAAGAGTCCAAGTACCCACGAATGTGGTACTCGAGATTTGGGCGATGGTATTTATGGTGCAATTCTTGGGAAGGTAAATGATATTCGGGCACTGGGACCCTTGTAGAGAACAGAAAGGTTGGCAAGGATGCCACACTGGCAAGCAGTGATGTTGATGTCACGGGCCACACTGAAGAACATTACTGTGGGAGCCTGACTAAAACAGTTGCCAACATGATTTTGAGGAATTTTGAGATATCCTATACTAGACTTGAACAAGGAATCTAGACCTTAGTTGTGGTAACTATTTGGGTTCAGAACTGCCCTGTTGTTGGAAACCACCTTACTAAGAACTGTAGACTTGATCTGGCCTTGGCAAGTCAGCAGCTGACAAAAAGGTATAGGGTATAGGGTTACTGAATTGTTCGCAAAAAGTTTAGATTTCCGCCCCGAGTTTGTCCAAGGCCTGTCGCCGCTGGCGGGGGCAATTGGTGAGCTGGGAGCCTATTCTGAGAGCGACACTGGCGGAGGGTTGAAGTTTGAAGCATTACTAGATGGCACTTTGAAAGAGTATTCATTTTCCTTGATTGAAAAGGCGCGCATTGACAATGAACATTGACTACCGACACCCTGTAGCAAGTGCAACGGCGAACGGCTTGAAGTCAGAAAGGTTACCCGATTTTCTGGGATCCACATAAGGCTCCTGTCCCCCACTTCTGGCGGACACAGGCATAGGTTCTTTGTAAAGAAGAAGCCAGCGCATACAGAAACAGGGTCCTCTTTTTGTTTCCTTGGTTAGTGAGGTTCTAGTTATTCAAGGGACTGCGAAGTTGTCTCTTGTAGGCCCAAGCATTTTCAGGTGGGACCCTAAATCCTAAACCCCAAACCCAGAACTCTTTGGTATTCTCTAGACCTAGGCTCTCCTCTTCTGACATCCTGAAGTACTCAGTGCTGCGGCATATGAGTCCGCCAAAAGCATGCGCAGCATAGCCTTGCTGGTCGTTAGTAGGGAAGAAGACTATACAGAATATTCCCTCATTCCTTACTGATCCTGAACCCTAAACCCCAAATATGGTCCTTAATACGGCCCTTAATAAGGAACCTATGTCTTTTAGATTATTTGGGAAATCTTGACTGAAGCTCATGTGAGCCCTCTGGACTACGGTTAAAACCTACATTCCTGAAAGATCCCCCATAAACCCCTTATTTGTTCCCCTATTGGTCCCCCCCGCCTAACTTTAGTCTGCAGCTCATGTGCAAACATGGCCAGCTGTGGTTGGGAGTCATTACAATGGCCCGAAAATTGCACGAGCCCTTCTAGTGGTTCATATGGGTGGTTGTCAAAATTATGGTCCCTTTTTGGGTATCCTAAATATTAGGTGCCGTATTATAATAGGGATTCAAAAAGGGACCATAATTTTGACAACCACCCATATTCCTTATAAAGCAGATTGGTAGCTGCCCCAACAGCTTCGGTGCATCATGCAGCCCCCCACCCCTGACATCCGTACAGGAAGTAAAAACTGATCGCCAATTGAGTAGTATTTTATTTGGGGATACTATGGCACCCAATATAGAGTAAGATTATATCCTCCTTTTGGGGTATAGTATTTTATATAAGGAACATAATCTCACTAGGTTGAACCACCAAAAAAAACATTACTCAATTCTCGAGAATTTCACGCATCGCAACCGGGGCTCCTTCTTCCGAAGGCAAGCTTTCGATGTTTCAAAATGTTTGTGACATCAGTCATATGAGTCCAATATACCCTAAGGCAATGGCCCTAGACCCTCAACTCCTATCCCTTTAGTAGAACTTCTTAAAGGATTGCCCCTAAACCCAGCCGCCCCCCACCCTATTGGGCTCCTATGTAGCTCTTTTTGGGTGGTTTGTAATATGCTCCTTTACTAAACAACCATAACAGACTCGAAAAAAAATACATAGGCCCAAGGTAAACCCTAAACCCTAGGCTGCGGTCTTCCAGAAGCTATGAGGCTTTGGGTGCAAGCCTCAGCCTTTCGGGAAGTGGGATTAAGGGGGCTAGGGTTTAGGGGGGTTATATAGGGGGTTTTATGGGGTTGTAGAGGGGTTAGGGCCGCTTAGGTACGCCCCCGCAAATACTCGTCTCGCCGTATCAGAGGGATCCAAAAGTGATTATCATCTCGTAGCCTACAAGTTATACATTTCACTAGTTTGGGGGCATGGGGGTTGTAGTGTGCATACGTGCATTCCGACTCCTTATACTGTAGTAGTGATACCCACCGAATCGGAGGTAAAATCCACGAAGCTGTAGGCAAATGGGGTGAGAGGTAGGTCCTGGGGTCTACCCAGACACAACCCAAGGCCTTGTTTACAGACAATTGTGACGTGCCGAGTTTATCCTATAGGTCCTATGAGCCCGAACCAAGTATGGGCATGCCAGTGCTAAAGCCCTAAACTGAGCCCTACTTGAAGGGTCAATGGTTCAGGTGCCCATGAACCAAAACCCCAAACCGACAATCCTAAAGCTAATCGCAGCGGAGCAGTCCCAACCCGGCCCCTGACAAGGATAAGTCTCACCGGTTCCTAGTGGGGAATAAGGGAATATGTGAGTTATACGAGGATTACATAGGGATTATATTCCCTTATTTCCTACTAAGAAAGATGGTTTAGGATGTAGGGTCTATACTCATGGACACCCAACTGGACACCCAATACATGCTCTTACAACTATATTGTTTAGGAACTCCAAGCACTCGCCAAAAGCGATCGTTAAAACCCAACTTCATAGCATATTTGGGGGTTTGAGGGGTCTCCAATTTCTGGAAACTTCCATGTAACACTTGCGAGGGCTCCTTGGCTCGAGTCCTGCACGTTGAGTTCGCCATTTCCTGGGTAGGCCCCTGGGACATTTTATATCTTCCCTAATGGCTTTAATAGGAGACCCTATATATGAACATTTTTCAAAGGGTGTTATGTGCCAACCCAGTTTCTACGGGCAACAAGAAGCTTGAAAT